GGCCAGCGGCTGACTCCGGGAAGCCAGAGGCAGAGCAGCTCTGCCCTAGGCATCCCCGATTCAGCCGCTGGTCAGTTTTAGCAGGGGCTGAATCAGGGAAGCTGGAGGCAGAGCAGCTCCAATGGTCCGGCCGCCCGGAGCACTTCCGGGTTCCTGATGGTGCCGGACCATTAGGAGTGCCGGACCGTCAGATGCCGGACCATCGGAGTTTTACTGTAGTAGCTCAAGGAAGCAACTTCTATTCACTCTGGGGGGAGGACTTTGCTGGTGTCATTTCCCACATAGCCTAGGGAAGGGGAGCGCAATAATTTTTGCAGGGGAGCCACTTACTGGCCAGTTCTACACTTAAGAAGGGTGTGGGGCTAGGGACTAGCTCCTCCCTTCCCCAGAATTGTCTGTGGCCAGAGGCTTTGAATTAAAAACCTAGCAAAGGACTCCGAGGTCAGTCACTACCCAGCCTGGCAGCCACCTGGGACTGCTGCAGCTACTTAAAAGGCTCACAGCTCCGACCCCTGCTGGTGTAGCTTCGTGACTGGGAGCCATGTGTCATTCAAATAGATCCTGCTGCCTGGAAATGTGCTATAAATAGAAAGTGAACACATGCAGTCTGCGGGCTGAATCAAAGGGTTAGGTGGGCTGGATCTGGCCCCTGGGCTGCATCTTGCCCAGCTCCGGCCTACGGAAACTGGTGGAGAAGCAAGGTGCAGGTCCCTCTGCTGCATCTCCTCCGAAGGCCTAGATCAAGATATGGGTGGAAAGCCGAAGATCCACAGCTTATGGTCATGAACAGGTACCTCTACTGCTCTGAAAGAGTGGCAAATGGCAGAAAGTTGGGTGCAATAACCACTAAGTCACTTGGCCCTCTGAACTTCCTATCATGGGCTCACTAAAGCTAGGCACCCAACTATGTACTATTTTTTCCAGCATTTTTAACAGAATAAAATCAGCTATTTTAAAGAAGTTTTGTGCATATATATCTAAAATAGTCAATTTTCTAACAATGTACAAATCCTAAACTGAAGATCTGGTTTTATGGATTTCCTAGAAGTACAGACCTGGAAGTGTGGACTGGACACACATTTGGCTAGCTGTCTGAAAAGAGGCTCCATAACCTTTACAAATTCAGATGGTTCAATGACATCTAAAATTTCCTCAAGTTCATTTAAGAACATGACTTCTTTTGGACTGTGAGTCTTTGGCCAATATTTGAGCAGTGCCATCACCACCTGTAAAAAGAAAGTTTGCAGGTTAAAATTAATACAGTTTTCATAGCAGTATTTTTAAATATTTATCTTCCATTTTTGCAGTAAAGTGGATTTCTTACAAGAACTGTCATCATAAACTAGTACTTCTGTTACTGTATTACCAAAGTATAAGAAGTCTGGTTACTTACCTTGTACAGTAACTGGAGTTCTTTGAGATGTTCGATCCCTATGTATATTCCATTCAAGATGTGCATGTGCACCATGCACCTGAGACCATGAGAGGGTTTTTTTGCTAGCAGTATCTACTTGTCCATGACTGCACCCTTGTCCTCCACTTGCTCCAAACCAAGGATGTAAGGGGTGATGTAAACTGCCTCTAATTCTTTCACTCTGGATAACAATCCAAAACAGAGGGGAGAGAGAGCAGGGATGGCACATCTTGGATAACTCCAGTTACTGTACAATCACATTCTTCTTTGAATGATGGTCCTTCTATGAACTCCACTCAAGGTGACTCGTAAGGATTGTGTGAGGAACCCTGCTGTATTACAGAACAGAACTGCTCTGCTACAAGGATGCATATGTTGTAGAAGTGTGTACCAGGGTGTAATGTCTCACAAAGATATGCACTGAGCTCCACATTGCCACACTACAGAACAAAAGGGGAACACTTTGAAGTTGAGTGGAACTCAAGAGCAGAGAGAGACACTGGGTTCCCTTCTGGGTTCCCAGAAAGACTAGAGGAAGACCCTGAACACAAGTGGAGAGAAAGCCCATCAGGCCTGGACCAGGCCTACAGACTTTGTGTGAGATGCTGGGACTTCTTGGTGAAAACTCCGGACTGTGAGAGACTGAAGGTGACTTAGCCTCACAGCTGAGTCACATGGCAAAAAAGCTTACTTGCATGTAAATGGAGGTTCTTTGAGATGGATGGTCCCTATCTGTATACCATTGTGGGTTATGCATGTGTACCATTTACCCAGAGATAGAGAATGTATATGTTGTCTGATCTATACAAATGCCCTGGCTTGCTTCATGCCTCTGACCAAGGAGATAAAGGGCAGACCAACCACCTCTTCAATTCAAACCAGACAAGATTTAAAGCTGAAGGGAAGGAAGGCAGGTACAGGCAGTCCCCGAGTTACGCGGATCCGACTTAAGAACGGGGCTTTTCTCGCCCCGGAACTCGCGGGCGGCGGGACCACCCAGACGCGCAGTGGTCCCGCCACCGCGTCCTCTGGGGCGAGAAAAGCTGCTCCGGGTGTCCCTGGTCTGCTGGGGGGGGTCCCCAGCAGCGGCGTGGGCCCCCCCCCCCCGCACCGACAGGGCTTTTAAAGCCTTGGAGGCGCGGGACCCCGCCTCCTCCAAGGCTTTGCTCGGGGTGTCCCTGGTCTGCTGGGGATCCCTCCGCCGCCTCTGCGGCTTTGCTCCGGGTGTCCCTGGTCTGCTGGGGACCCCCCCTAGCAGACCAGGCTTTTGTTGTGGACGCCTGGGGTAGAGCAGCTGGGGTGCTGCCGGGTTGGTCCTGGGGGGACCTACCCGGCAGCGCCCCAGCTGTTCTGTCCCAGGCTCCAGATTTAGCCACTGCTGAAACTGATCAGTGGCTGATTCCAGGAAGCTGGGGGCAGAGCAACTGTGCCTCGGGCTTCCTGTAGTCAGCCCCTGGTCAGTTTCAGCAGCAGCGGCTGAATCTGGAGCCAGTTCCGAGTTACGTAAAAATTCAACTTAAGAACAAACCTATAGTCCCTATCTTGTACGTAACCCGGGGACTGCCTGTAGTGGAAAACACACTGGGAGCAAACACGAAGAACCTCCAGCTAGAGGAAAGTTTACTTCTTGTTCAACTAATGGTACCTGCTGAATCCCACTTTGGGTGACTAACAAGTAGTATCTAAGTATGAGGAGGGCCTGAGGATGAAGAAGTAGGGTTGAACAGAGAAACACTGTCCCACAGAAGGCATCAGCTGCTGAGTCATGTACTAGAGTGTAATGCCTTGCAAACATGTGTCTGGAGCGCCATCTGGCCAATAGAAAGGGTATTCTTAAAGATGGGAGTAAGAAAACCAGATTTTTTTTGATATCTATACTAACTCCCAGTGAGGAAAGGAGGCGGACCATCATAGACATGGACATATAGGCTGAGATTTGGTAATGAGGAGCCAATTATCAAGGTATGGGAAATTGAGGAGGCCATGACATCTCACATGAGTTGCTACCAGTGAAAACATCTTGGTAAAAACTAGAGTGGTGGTAGATATTCTGAAGGATAACACTTTGTACTGGAAATGGTCAGAGCATCCCTAGATCTAAGAAATTGTCTCAGAGAAGGATAAATATCAATGTGACAGAAAGCTTCCTTCACAGATAGCTGCAGACCACACCGGAATTATTATTACCAACATTATTGTGAAGTGTAAGTTTGTGAATGAAGTGGCTGAGATGGCAGAGATCAGGGATTGGTTTTCATCCAGCCTTCTTCTTAGATATGAGAAAGTAGTTTGAGTAAAAACCTATAACCTGATACTGTGGTGGAACATGTTCTATTGCTCATTGCTGTAAGGAATTCACATCTTGAGCAAGAACACTGTCATGAATATGGTCCCCAAAGGGAGCTGGACTGGGCAGTTTTGGAAGAGGCAGCGTTGCAAACTTGATCATATAGCCATTGTGGAAGATGTTCAGCACCCATATGTCCATCACTATCACACTCAAGGTGTTTAAAAAGAGTTCTAGGTGATCTCCAAATGGAGTACTGAGTTTGGGAGGTGGTGTGCTCAGTGAGTCATGACTCTCAAGCACCAAAGGATAAATGGGCACAAATCAGATATCAGGAAAGATAACATACAAATGCACATAAACCTGTAGAACACTTTAGCTTCCCTGGACATTCAGAGATGGATTTAAAAGTAGCCATACTTCTACAAAATAACTTTAAAACCTTATTATAAAGGGAGACAGCTGAACTGGAGTTAATTTGGGAATTCAATACAATCAGTTTAGGACTGAAAGAGGATCTTAACTGGTTAATGCACTACAAAGGCAATTTCCCCTCTTTTGATATTTACATCTCCACATCACATGCTGCAAATGAGACACATCCACCCTGACTTGATTAGCTTGATTAACATGAAGTGGGTTACCTATGAACACTTATGTTCTAATAAATCTGTTAGTCTTTAAGGTACCACACGACCCTGTGTTGTTTGTGAAGATACAGACTAACATGGCTATCCCCTTGGAAACTGGTTGGAGAAGTGAGATTCATTGAGGGGGAGGTCCTCAATGGTACTCTGGACCTTCCTGGAGAATTTTGAGGCACCGGGACTCCCTTTACATAACAGCGATACACATGGCTCTGAGGAACTATCGGCCACATCAACTATTGGTTGTTAACTTTCCTTCCTCTGTTGGAGCTTGGAAATTACAATAACCATGTTGTGGGGGGCTGTGGGCAATTTCTCAAATTTAGCATAGTTTGGGAAATCATATTTAAGCCAACTATCAAGCAGTAGTGGCTAACTGAAGACTGGAGATGAGAAAACTTTCCTCCCAAATAGATCTAAACATTTATCATCCTTGACTATAGGAGCAGATCTAGGGGTGTTGTTGCCTGGACATTTCCAAAGTGGCCTGAACCACCAATGAGTTAGGAGCTAGGTGAAAGAATAAGAATTCTTAACCCTTAGCCAGGACATCTCTCTACCCCTTTTTCGATAGGAGTGCTGGTGGCAGAGGTGTGCCATATGGTTCTAGCCAGCTTCAGTGAGGCCTCATTTGCGGGGAGGACTATTCTTGTAGAATTTTAACAGAAAAGTTCTCTGGAAACTCTGGGAGAAGGGCTGAGAACAGCCTGAAGTTACTGGTGGGAGGGGGAAGAGGAGGAGATGCCAAAGTCACCATTTCATCTGGCAATGAAGATGATAGTCTGGCCAGTTCCAGTGGAACTGTTGGAACCAAGGTGTAGTGCTTCTGTTCTTTAACTGGATGGGGGATAATTTTGATGGTTCCTTGGAGAGAAAGCAGGTATTGACTCTTTGGAGGATTGGATAGATTCTGAAGGATGGATGGGTTGTCAGGTGGTTGGGGGGTTTGCAAGGCATTGAGTACCAGTTACCCCAAGCTGAGTGAGGCAATGATTGGTCTCACGGCAATGCAGATCTCCTGGAAAATGGGTAAGATTACTATGGGAGTAGCAATTCCACTGATGATTCTGAATCTCGGTGGGAAAAGTCTGACTTGGGTTCCAGTTGTGATACCACTAGTGCCACTGGAGAGGTGTAAGAAGTGTACAGAGAGGAGGCGGCAGAGTAAAAGGTTCCATCCTGCAGCTAAGTCTCTTGTGGGAAATATAAGCTCCCTGGAAACAGAGGTTCCCAATAGAGAAGGGGATTCTGGACTAGAAGGTGGCATAGTAGTTGGCAAGTCATTCTGCCACACTGCCTGAAGTATGGGGAGGAGGGCAGAGCGAGGGGGTACTGACTGTTTGGGTTCAGACTATGGATTCATTGAACAATCAATCAGGAATCTTCTACAACTGCACTCTGGTGGATTAATAAGCTTGGTAAGAAGACTGACAAATATTACCTTCGGAGGGGATATGAGGGTTCCTGGGACAATACAAGTGAGTATCATGCTCATTTCTTACCAAGAAGGCCCAGGAGTAAGTAGGCCACACAGAACTTGAATTCTGGGGCATACTAGGCATCCCATATAATGGTGAGGGGGCACTTCAAGCGCCTGGGCCCTTTAACTCTTGATTATTAAACTTATCTGAGAACAAGTACAAAAATCTAACTAAAGCTGTGGATGCTGAAGAGTTCCATCTCAGATCATGCGTGGCAGAAAGGTACTGGACTACAGGCTGAACTTCTCTAGTCCAGCACCCTCAGGACCTGACTGGTGCCAACCCAGAGAAATTGCTGAACCACGGGAGGTCAATATTATCTAGCAGCATTACTAACACTTCCACTGCTTAGTGGAGTCTTAGAAGACATTTAGGAGTAAATAAATGCTAAACAACA